TCCCCCCAGGACTGAAACCTTTTGAACCTGCTCCTGCTTCCCCCTTGCCAGAAGCTTTGCTTAACCTCAGATCTGGCCTAAACTATCTCAGCAACCCAAAAGAATCAGCCTAAAACAAGGAGCAGAGTGACACAAGGGGAAAAGGTGTCAAATCCAAACGTCCCCGCTGGGTCTTTGTTTCTTTTCAGCACAAAGTCCCTGCAAGAGGCCCTGGGACCGTGTCCCAGCTCTTCTCATGCCAAAGGGCTGCAGTTGGTGGCAGTTTCCATGCCGGGGAAGGAAGGCAGCTGGCATTTCCCACGGGGCAAGGAGCAGCTTGTCACGCTGTGCTGGGGTGGAAGCAGCTGCTCCAGAGCCATGTCCAACTGCTCCTGCTTCCACTGCTCAAACCTTCACAGACCCACCCAGCACCAAAGCCTTGTTTTCCAAGCAGGACCTTTTTCTCTCTGCTCTATAAATATCAGTTGTTCCGGGTGGCAGTGACCTTCCTTAAAGGCAAGTGTTTAGATTCACTTACAGCAGGCACCATCCAGACTGTACCTGTGCCCAGGACAGCAGGAAATTGATCTGGAGCAGCTTTTACTTCACTGGTTTGTCCCTTGAACCAGTGAATTGTCCCTTGAACCAGTGAAATGTGCTGAGAAAGACCTTTGCAAAGCTTCCAGTCTAGCCTGCAGAGCTGGATACCCCAAACAACACATATCTACAAGCAGAGGGCTTATTTGATGATACATATATGTACTTTTACAATTTATTTTGCAGGAAGCAAACCCCCTGGTGATTCCAAGAGAAGGAATGAAGACAGTTCATTCACCCATCCTGGAAACAACAGCCAGGCAAGGAGAGCCAGGGATATCTGATGTGCTCCTACAGCTGGGGCAGCTACAAAGCACCAGTGAGTCTTACCACCAGCATTAGCAGGGGGACAGATGGACACCTCCTATTAACAGGCCCCTTTATACCCTCAAGACTCACAGGCAGCTTTGACAAGACCTCATTTCTTCACTATCACCCACCCTGAAATAAACTTGGGATTTTCTGAGTTCAGCCTGTCAGGCCAGGGAAAGCTGTGGACTCTCCCTGAATTGCAATCATGTCATGATTCAGTGTCACTGCCTTCCAGTTTCAGGAGAAACTCCCTTTGAGGGACCAAACCAGCTCTGCAGCAACAGCCCTTTGCAGATTTGCATTTCAGTGGCCACAGTCACCAGTGACTACAAAAATAGCAGCTTATTTACTCCCCATGTGCTTTGCTGACAAACAAGTTCTTAAGCCCCGTGGAGGAGATTCAGCCACCAGAGCAAGAAAATTCCATCCTAACACAAATTGTCAGCTGAACTGCAACTGCAGACCTCAGTACTGATGGAACAGAGATCTCAGCAGGATTTCTCAATTCCAGATGGCATCTGGATGTGCTGCCAGATACACTGAAGCTTTCATTTAGCACAGAACTGTTTCTTTAGGCTGACTGAACAAGAAGAAATTACAATGTTCATTTTTAAGGCAGGTTTCAGAGCCAGCAGAACAGGTGAATACAAGTTTAACAAACCACTGAGATTCACAACTCACTGTGCTCAGCTTATTTTAAACAGAGCATTGTAGAAGTTCAATGTTTCTCCTTGTCTAGCCCAGCAGTTTTCTACTCTTACAGAAATAACCCCTGCCCAGTGGTGCTTTGGAGATGCCCAGACAAGATGGAAGCACAGGGTGGAACACAGCACAGCAAATAGTTCCATTCCAGGGCTGAGCTCTCAACACTTTCAAGGCATAAACTAAACAATGAATAAATAACTTGAAGCTTTCCCCCAAGACATCAGTCACTCTGGAAGACATGTGACCAACCCCCAGGCCAAGAACTCATTGCAGAGATTCCTATGCCATGACCATGTCACACACACGTGACACTCGTGACACTTGTCACCAGTATCACTGCTCCAGAGGATGTCTGGAGCAGGGTTGTGGCCTCAGCCAAAGCTCCACCCCCACCCAGGCTGCCTCATTCCATGGGAACCCCTGGAAAAGCTGAGCTGTGCCTGCAAACCACTCCAGGCAGCAATTAAGGCAACAAAACATGAACATCCCTGCATCTGAATACAACTAATTGCACTCACACACTTTGTATTTTAATTTAAAGGCTTCATCAGTAAGAGAAGCCCTTTATGATCAGAATTACTGGTTGGGAAGGAAACTCCCAGGGGAGACTTCCCACTTCTAGATTACCACAACCTCCTCTGAAACACCAAAGACAATAAAAACTATTTAATATTCTCATAAAGCTAAACCCACACACACAAATCCTACTTTCACACAGTTACCTGACAAGTTTATATCCAATAAAAACAACCTGGCATTATCTTGCAAATATCTTTATTACAATTTACAGATTAGTCTTGAATAGTTTTATTATGTACAGAAATATAACTTTAGATATAAAAACCCAACAAACTCTACACAAATCAATTAAAATCTGTATAAAGTCAATGTTGAAGGTTTTCTAACTTTCTCTAAATTATACAAAAATAAAATCTGATACAGTTTTGATTTAAAGTTCAGCAAGTGTTTTTTTTTTTACTGTCTCACTCAAAGCACTTACAACACGGACACATCTTATAGGATCCTTTGAAGGTGTGTTAAGGGGAAACTGACAAGCTTAGCTTGTTTTTAAGATGATTTTCATGGTGGTGATTTTAGTATTGATTTCCTCTCACCTTACACTGACTACTGTGAAAACATGAGGTGTGAGGAGACGGGGGGATGTTTACCCAAGCAGGTATGTTTTGTGTTAGAACAGGGTGCTTGACACACTACAGACTGGAAAAAAGTCATTTCTCAAATGCCAGAAGCACTTGGGAAGTTGCAGTTTTTAATCTAGTTTACACACAATTTGTCAATTCTGTTCATTTCCAGCTGTGGCCTTTTCCAAGCCTCTGCAAACAGTGGGTCAGTATTGGCAGGTGTTGATTCACACCATTCTGAAGCTTCTTATAAGCACCAGTAAAACAAGTGAGTTGTCCAGAGTAATTGAAGCACCAAGTAGTTCTCCCAAGACTGAAGAAACTAGGAAAGTCATGGAAAAATTACTGTAGTTTGTTTTACCCAGAGCAATGAACAGCATTTTTACTTATCAGTCACACTTGGACCACAAGTCAACACATCTTTCTACTGTAATTCTACATTTATCATCCTAAAAAGAACACCTGTTATCAAATCTGCTACAGGAAAATGAACTGCTAAAAATCAGAAGATACTTCACAGGCTTAATTGTGATTTCACAACTAAAATTATATTTTGTGGGAAAGAAGAAGCCCATTTTTTTAATTCATTGCCACGGGGCTGAAAAAGAACATTGCTGCATTGCTTCCAAGGCCATAAGGCTCCCTGTTTCAGCTCTATTTTAGGTTTACATGACAACTCCCTCTGAATTTTATAATACTTCTAACTTGCAGCAGAGAAAATTTTAAATGTAAAGAACATACTTCATACAATAAGGATAAAGTATAAGCCCAAAACCTGAATTTTTTTCAGACAACTAAAAGTAATGGCCACAAAGAAAGCTTGATAAGCAGGAGATTCAGCAAAGCTCTGCTCTTCTCTAATTTTCTTTCAAATTAAAAACTGAAGTCATGAACAGGATGACAGATCTGAAGTGCCTTTAGGTTTCTCCCTTCATAAACAATTCTAGTGAGCTCGTTGAACCAAGCAGCAAATAATTTATTCACACAACTTCGTGCAAACAGAGAATTCTCTGATGTCTGGGATTGATTCCAGTGCCTGACCTCATACCTGCTTGGATAAGGGCCATGCAACCTCCTTCAGGTCCAAACACATCCCAGAAGTGCTTTTTTACTGTGACTGCAACAACAACAAAACATTTGAAGTTAGGAACATAATCAAGGAGTGTTTTCCTTCCACCAAGGACCTCAACTTTCAGCCCCCAGCTGTGAAATGTTATTTTGGTACTGGATGAACCCAAATGCAGACACACAGAGGTATTAATACTGGCTTTTGGTAGAGAACACAGTGATGTGTAGCCTTAGATTTCAGTGAGATAATTCTCCTTACAAGTTAACAGAACATAATGAACACAACAAATACAAAGAATCTTGCACTTCAATCCATTTTCAGAAAGCAGAATCAATGACAGCAAAGTTGCTCTAAGAGCAGCTAAAGAACTAGTTCTCTCTTCATGGCTCCCTAAACTATCAGCCACAACCTTGATAGGTACCTTTGAGTTTTAATTATTGATCAGGATGAGGCCTGAAAGCAAAGAGGGTTGGTGCACAAGCAGGCAACACCCTCTGGAAGCAGTCCTGGGTAAAGGTATTATTTAAATAAAGATAAACCCAAAGGGCTTGCAGTGCACCAGAGCCCCCCTGAATCCCCCAGTGTGCTAGACTGAAAAGACATCAAAGCTTTACATCAACACTCAAACACTGGATCACAGGCAAAACTGGGATCTTAAAAGGAAGGAATTACCTGCTTTGCACACTGAAGTTAATGTTATTAGCTAACAAAATCTTGAGACTTTTGTACAAGTTAGAGAAAATGGAGAACCACAAGGAAGCAGCACAAACCTCTAGAAACTTTAAATCAAAACTGCAATACCTAGGATTCTGAGCTCCATAAATATTTCCTTCAAAATAGGTTTTGCTTTTTCAAAGTGCAAAAATCCAACTTAAAGAGTCACCACTTCTCCACACAGGGCAGACAAGGCATTTTTTGGAATGGATTTAACCTAAAGCAGCCTGTTTCTCAAGTGTTACTTAAAAAGGAATGCAATTATACCACCCTTACCCTTGATGCCACTCTAAAGCTTTTGTCTGTGTATCACAATGGGCACACAGCCTTATTTGTTGGCTGAATATCAAGCTGGGGAAAAAAGAAAAGTCTTAAAATCCCACTTCTCTCCTCATTTCAAAATAGCACATGCAGGTGGCGCTTCTTGTTTCGAAGATGTTTACGAGTCATAGGGTCACACAACTACCAGATCTTTTAAGGTGCTAGAAGAGATCAACTCTCTTGTAGTAGGTTTCTTGGAGTCTATTAAATACTCTTTGTCTATGCTCTGGTGTGAAGCAGTATCCTATGGCTTCTTCTGTTTCTTGGATCCGTTTCTGGAACCTGCATCCATCTCGTGCCAGCTCTTCCCAGGGTCCTTTACGATCCTCCTCACCACTTATGTAATACTCAGTGACTTTTTCAAGGAAGGTGACCTGGAAAAGACAAGTCTTTTAGGAAAGCATCAGCCAAACCCTTGTGCAAAAGAACCTTTATATTCATTTGCACACACACACACACATATATGTATTTTTAAACAAGTTATTAAACCCCTCAAATGGCAAAACCCCTCAAATCATAGAATCATGAGATAGTTTGGGTTGGAATGGACCTTAAAGATCATCCAGTTCCAACCCCGTGCATGGGCAGGGACACCTCCCACCAGCCCAGGCTGCTCCAAGCCCCATCCAACCTGCCCTTCAACACTGCCAGGGATGGGGCAGCCACAGCTTCCCTGGACAATGTGTTCCAGTGTCTCACCATCCTCAAAGCGAAGAATTTCTTCCCAATGTCTCACCTAAATCTCCCTCCAGTTTTAATCCATTCCCCCTTGTCTTCTCACTGTACTACCAGTTCCTGCTTGGTCTCTGCACCACCTGGGCAAGAAGACATTTTACCTCTCAGCTTCCAAAGCAAACAGTCCCTGACTTCCCCTTCTACCAAAAGCAGTGCCCAAACTCCTGCAGTTTCTAACCTGTGGCCCTAGAGGCCCCTTTCAGCTGAGGACAGATCACACGATGTTCCCTGTGAAACAACACCCCCTGACATCAGTGCTGGGTCATGACCTCAAAGAGAGACAGTTCAGGAAGGTTGCTCAGTGGGACATGTCAGGACACTCACTCAAGGTGAGTGCTGCTGGCCAACAGCTGATTACTGAGGCTTGCATAATAAAAAAAGGAAGAATCACTCTTCTGTGAAGTTCTGCTGTGAGTCAGCTTGTACTTCAGCAGCAGAAGAAAGCACTCAGTGCTGCATATAAGGAAACAACACTCACCACTATGTGAGTGGAACCAACCCTTCTATTTAGAGCTGGGATCAAATTCCAGTGCAGTGAAGTCATGGGGCTTGAAAATACTTTCACTCTTTGTTGTTTTTAAGAACTATTCAGCTATTTTAAGAAAACAAAATATATAGGCTCTGGATGTAAACTTGAGAGCATTTAGACTGTTACTATATCAAGGATTTAAGTCTTTCTGTTACCAAGTGACAGGCAAAAGCCAGAATATTTCAGGCATCTACTGAACTGTGTATTGCTGCTCATTTAGCTACACAAAAAGCACCTGAAAGAAAACTAATTAAGCTGAACAGCACCCAGCAACAATCAAGCCAAACACTGCTGTTACAGACTCCCCTGCACTTGCTGCAGGACTGTTACTTCTGGGAAGTCAGGAAGAAACCTGGGGAAGTACAAAAAAACCTTGCTGCTCCAGCCCTGTGTTTTATTAACACAGAACCTGAGTTTCAGACCCAGTTGGTGCCAACACAGTGAGGAGTGAGGTTGCTTTTTGAGGTAGAGCCATCTTCCAGCCTTCACAGAAAACATGAGGGTAAGTTATGGAAGAGAGGAGCTACAGGAATAATCAGCTGTTGAGGATACAGAGCCAGCAGAGGCTGTGTGAAAGCAACCTCCACAATTCCAGTGCAGTGATCCCAAATTGCTGCCCAAGCACATCAGACCCCCCATGTCTTCAGAGCATCACCACATTTACCAGCTCATTAGGGAAACTAAACACTCCCAGGTTTTATGACTTTACAAACACCACCAATACTGCTGCTGCCTGATTGCAGGAGGCCAGATAGGAAATAGCTTTGAGCAGGATGAATGACCTTAAGATTTCCTGGGAACACCCTGGTCATTGATTGGCAATCTCCATTTTGCAGACAGGTCTAATTAAGTACCTGCTCCCGAGCAGCACACCGAGCTGTTACATCAGCCTCTCCCGATGAGAGTTCCTACCTTACATCCTTTTTACATCAGTCTGAGCCACCCTTGGGCACAATTACAGGAGTGTAACGTCACACTAACTATTGCATCTAGATCACCACTCTTTCACCATGCCCACAGATGACACACAGACAAAAAATTACTACTGTTGAGTCTACATCTTTGCCACACAACAGGTTTTTGGGTGGCACCAGTGTGAACTCAGCAGGGCTCACCAGTGCTCCCTTGCACTGCCCTCAGATGCTGTCAATTTCAAAGGGCCTCTTGCAGAAACTGCTTCAGTATTTTCCACTGATTGAAATATAATAGTTTATCCTTAGTGAACCATTAAACGCCACTTACTGGCTCACAGAATGGTGAAGGTTGGAAGGGACCTTAAAGATCATCAGGTTCTAACCTCCCTGCTATGAGCAGGGACACCTCCCACCAGACCAGGCTGCACAAGCCCCATCCCACCTGCCCTTCAACACCTCCAGGGATGGGGCAGCCACAACCTCCCTGGACAACCTGTTCCAGTGTCTTCCTAGCCTCATGGGGAAGAATTTCTTCCTGATGCCCAAACTAAATCTCCCCTTTCAGTTTAAAATCATTGCCTCATGTCCCATCACTGCCCTCTCTGGTGTAAAGCCCCTCCCCAGCTCTCCTGTAGGCCAAATTACCCTAGCAAAAATAGGTGATTAAGTTACCTCCAAGCCAGGCTCTCAATTAAAGGAGCCAACAAATCAATGTAAGAACACTAAAACAAGCATTACACAACTTCTCTATTTTGATGACTTGCTACTCTAGTGTATTATTATCCTGGGGTCTGCTACCACAGCTCATACAAATATCTGAAATCACAGAATGCCTCGGGTTGGAAGAGACCTCTAAAGGTCATCTAGTCCAAACCCCCTACAACAAGCAGGGACATCTCCACCCAGACTTGCTCAGAGCCCCATCAAACCATGAATGTCTCCAGGGGATGGGGCTCCCACCACCTCTCCAGACCACCTGTTCAGTGATCTACTACCCTTATATTCAAGAATTTTTTCCTAATGTCCAAGTATCAGGCAAGACTCAGACATTATACCTGAAAAACCATCTTCTACATCTGCAGCACCATAAAATTAACAATATTAATTTACTACTATACTTAAATCCTAGTACATATATTAAAAAGTTCTGTCCTACTGAAGCATGTGGTAACTCACAACAGAATTCTTCCTGCTCCAAAAGAACTTTGTAACTCAAGCAGGCTGGTCACAAGTCCTAAAATGTTTATAATGCTTTAAAGGCTCGATCACACTACACGAAAAGGTCTTAAAAGATTTGATCAACATTCTTCGTAACATCTATGGGGTACTTCCCAGAGAAATTACATCACAGTTCTCATCTGTTTCTCTGATAACAAAAACAATGTTACGACGCAACCAGAAAACGGAAACTATGTCTCGAAAGGAAAATTTAACTCACGTCTAGAAAACAAACGAAATTATCCACCCTGTGTCCCTGAATTACGAAATCGACTATCACGTGTGAAAGATGAGGCATAGTAATTTCAGTCAGGTAATTAGACCATAAGCCCAAAGGGTTATGATTTTCCGTGCCTGGAATCCTGGCACAAGTGACCTCACCCCCTCACCTCCCGCTTCCCGCAACGTTTGTATCTGTTTTTTTAGTAGCAACCCCAAAAGACAAAAACATAAAGCAGGTCTATACCTTTTTCCGCTTGTGAGTTCTACATCTTTCACCAGAAAGACTGTCGTGCTGCACCAAGTTCGTGACCCCCCACTCGTGTTTTTCTAACTGCAGCCGACAGACAGTCAATTCAGAAGCCACCAAACTCGGCCTCTCTGCTCCCTTTAAATCAGGCGTCCCTTTTTTCTCTGCTGTTTGAAAGGCTGCCTTGAAATTTAAAGGATTATAAGGATCATCTGAGGTACAGAATGAGTTCCAAAGTTTCAAGTTTTCTGCCTCATCCACACTGCTACAGTCCCACTCCTCCTCCTCTTCAGAACTAGGGTCGGGAGAACCTGAAGACTCCTCTGCCCATGAGGAATCTTCCTCCTCCTCCTCTTCCATGTCTGACATATCCCGTCCCGGATCGCTGGAAGATGTCTGAATGGTGGCTGTGAAGTTCTGAGGGTTGTACGGATCCAAACTGTAGAAGGAAGTCCAGAGATCCAGCCTTTCCCCGTCCTGGCTACCAGCGTCTGAATCTGAGGGGAGCCCTTCGCTGTCAAACCCATCATCATCCCAGTCTTCATCGTCATCCGCACTCTCTTCCTCACTGGAAACTCCCCCTATGATATAATCTATTAATTTATTCGCACAGGCAGGTCTGGCTGAAACTGGAAGGTTTTGCTCTATTTCGGAGTCATCCCCCTCCTCTTCAGCCAAAGCTTCCCCCTCAAGTGCTCCCTTTTCAGCTGAAACCCTTATTATCCCCTCCTGCTCCAAGGAACCACTTCCAGGTTGTCCACGCGGCTCGCTCGGCTCCTCGGGCTGCTTCAAATCCCCGGCATCGCATCGCTTCTCCTGCCGTCGTCCTCCCTCTTCTTGACAAACGCCCTTGTGCTGCTGCTGCTGCTGCTCCTCCTCCAGGCTGTGGTAGCCGTGGTCAGGCTCTGGCACGGTCAGGCTCCCGCTCCGGGGCTGGAGGAAAGCCAAGCGCTTGCTGCGGAGGAACTCA